GTGTAGAAGATTCAGGAAGCTTCTCAGGCCTGCAGGATAAAATTACACAAAACTGCTTTGTGGCAGCTTTTTGCTTAACATATGCAATGCATGAATACATGTTAAGCTGCGTATGGATGAACATCTGGTTTAAGTTTACCCACAGTTTTTTTTTTATAAAACAACAGACAGTTTATTAAGATGTAATAAGCACTTATTTTAGTCTGCTAAAAACTTCTCATGCACTTGGTGTAAAAACAGTCAGGGGAACTATCATTAACATCTGGGCAGTGTTAATAATAGTTAACAGAAACTGAGGAAACTGAAGGCTTTGTCAGACTGATCAGAGTCAGAAATTATTGTTAATATCAGTAAAGAGGCTTGGCCGACTGCTGGGGAAGTTGGTAAACACATATCAGCACTGTAAAATTCCAGCAGGCTCACTGGAAGCAGAAAGTACGAGAAAATGGGAGCTATCAGAGCAACATCTGCTTGTTTTCCCTGCGTCCTCACATGCAGAGACCTGAAAGCTGTGCAGCATTCCAGCATGTTAAATCATTCCCCCATTCTTTAAGGTCACTTCTCAGAAATGTTACTTTAATGACCTCTCCAGCTCTGGAGCCTGCATGTAGGTGCAGCCCCATGCACGTTTCACCTAAAGCTAAAGCTGATTGTCTACTAATACAATGTCACTGATTTTGAATTAAATGAGTTTGACAATTAAGCTGCAAAGCTGGAAGATCAAGCAAAGAGTTAGATGACTTTTTTGTTTACCTTGAAATGTGGTGTGAAACTCTCCAAAGTGAGCCAACGTTCATGAAGGTCTAGTCCATGGTTTTGTTGGAAAACTGCAGTAAAAGGCCCACAGCTCAGCTCAGGAAGCCTGGCTATCTACACCTCTAAACGTCTTTCTTTACCCTCTGCTGACTCCTCCTCTGTCTTCCTCTTTTTATTCTCACTGCTCTCTCTCTCTCTCTCTCTCTCATAAACCCACGTCTGTCTAATCATTTTCAGAAGCTCAAACAAAGCAGGATGGGCTTTTCTATGGGGCGCCCAGCAGAAGGGAATTTGAAGTAGTTATTCTTTAAAAGCAGACTTTTTATTTCCTCGTGTGAATCCGCATTAGTTGCGTTTTGGCTTTTTTTTTAGCTGTGCCTAACCCATCTGTAGTGAGTTTAACTGGAAACCTAAATTATCGCTTCAGTTACCATAAAGAAAGAGAACCACATCAGTTAACCACAGAGAACATGAAACATTAGATGGTCTGGATGTTATCTCAAAATGAAAGAACAGAAAGCCTAGTTGTTGCAGAGAGAATAAAGAGGCATGACTGTGTGAAATTGTAGAAGTGAATGTGGTAAAAGTGGGGCTGCTTACACCATTAAGGTCAGATATGATGTTAAATCTACTAACTTAACATCTAACGATAAGTTTGATTCATGGTGAAGCATCAGAAAACTCATCCTGACAGAAAATTTAACCGGAGCCCCTCCAAGGCCATGACAGAAAGGTGATGTAATGACCTGAGGTGGGGGCAGGGAGCCTTAATAATAATAATAATGAATTTTATTTATAACGCACTTTACATTTGACTTCAAATCTCAAAGTGCTACATTAAAAAAGGGAAAATTAAAACAAGTTTAAAAGACCATAACATTAAAAACAGAGTAAAAAGACAGTCATTAAA